CTAAAGTTTCGTCGGAACGAAGTTACGGAAAGTTAATTAACAAACGGAGACGTAACAATTTCAACAACAATGGCAGCTTATACTTTTGTTTTGTTTTGAATAGTTGGGTTCTTCCAGTGAAATGTTGCCTCCTGCATTTGCTAGATTAGTGACTCACATTCATACAGTTTTGTTTTGGGTAAATGTCCCTGCGATACTGTACAATAAGTAAGTTCTTGTAGCTCGTGTAGGTATTCTTCAGACTAGGAAGGTTAAAATTATCCTGCTATGATAATTTTGACAATTCTCATTGGCACTTATGGTTTCTGTCTTCTACATTGTTTCAGTCAAATATGTGTTTTCCTGTCGAATAGCATTGACGAATTATCATATTTTTGTAAATACATGAATTTTCTCCACATTACTGGATTTATCAGTTGAGCAAAGTGTCCCATTTATATAAAGTTGTTTCCAACCTAAAAACAACAAGTTGTTGAAATTTTACCTTTTTCTCGGTATTGTTGCGTCAGCGAGGTCACATGACTAGTGTCACGCCACGTTTCTAGAGCTATCCTGTACCTTGGCGAATGCTCTAGCATTTACTAGATGTAGGGTAGTCTGGTATATAAAAGAGGGTGACAACGTGACGGGGAATAATGTGTGTGTAGACAGTGAGTAATTGATCTGCAGTCAGAGAGTATTATTGAGCACGTTCGTTGTTATAGCGTTTGTTTTAGCGTGATTGTTGAAATTAAGTGTATCGTAAAGTTATATTCGGAAAGAATAAACCAGTTTTATTAAGTAAGGACTTGTGTCGCTGAAGTTTCGTCGGAACGAAGTTATGGAAAGTTAATTAACAAACGGGAGACGTAACAGTATTAAACACAGTCTTTCTCCAAGTAGGCTTGGTTCCAACTAACCTAAAATGTTTTTCTCACCAATTAACTTTATATCGAACTAAGATCTCGTAAGCACTAGAGCTCCAATGTCATTGTATCTGAATAATAGCTCAGTCTCTTTAAATGACAAGAACCTGTAACTTTTTCTCATTTCATTACATCTAATTTCCGAATAATTTAAATTATCTACATACAAGTATACTTATATATAGCTTAACAAATATCAGGAATATCTTATTCTAGAACTGTTCGGATATTTTCATTTTGAATATTGTTGAAAAGTGAGTCTTATTATAATGAAGAATACGATATAAAACTTTTATCTGTATCTATTGCTTTTACTTCCTAGATTGATAGCTCTTATGAGCCACCGTACCTTATCTGAATTTTATTTTTAGAACTGGGCCACAAGTTGAAATTATATTTGTCATTTTTCAGCTCTTTTTTTTTTTTTCAGTAGAAAAGTCTAATCAAGAGGTAATTGTCAAGTTTCAACATCCATAACTTTTCTCAACAATACATTAAGATTGGAAAAAGCTGCTTCATGTGTTATGAACAATTAAACTTTCAGATAACACATTATTAGGACTTGACGTTTCTTTCACTTTGTCGTCTGTTAATGATATTAGATGGAAAATGGGTATTCAAAGAGAGCTAGTACAAGTAATGTTCACATTAACGGTGTTCTTGTCACGTCCTTCTTGGTTTGGATGCTAAACCAACTTCAAATTCAACAGTTACTTTGCCACTGTCTACAGAAAAATGTAAGTTACTGGTGGGCTTGTTGTTCTAGAGATTTGTAAGTTTTGCTTTGCTCATTGAATATATAATATACTTTCATGCTCACCTCCTTAAAATTAACCACAAATATGTATTTTGAGTAATAATGATTGATTAAATGGTGTTTATTTTAAGTTCAAAATTATCAATATCCAGTGTTGTATAAGATAAGTTTTATTTAAAAATATTGAAACATCTATATTTAATCTACTCAAACTACAGGTAAGATTGTGTATTAATGTCTTTGAAAATGTTATGAGATTTTAAAGGGGTATAGGAGAAAGATATTTTGACTAATCTCCGATTTCCTTCCACTGGCAAATTTCTTTGTTTCTGACATCACTAAAAACTTGTAAATATATATATATACATAAATCTATATTAGTAGAATTGAAAGAGGCATTTTTTTTAGCTTTTATTTGTAATTGTATGAATTATTTAATTTTTTTAAACTGATCTGCTGTCTAGCTTTGGTTTGAATGCTGAAGAGAACCTTGCATATTATAATAAATATTATCACCTTGATCACATATTAAGCTGTACAAGTTCAGTTATCATCATTTGACAAAACTGTACCCTCAAGCTTAATTTTTAAAAATGTTAATTTTCTTTAGAACTACTTGTGTAAAACATGCAGCTAGTTATTTGGAGTAAGAAAGAAAAAGTGTTTGCCTGAGGCCTGTTTCACATAGTATTAGAAAAATAAAGTCTATTTGTTAAGGAAAGGCCAAGCTTCAGAGAGCAGTGTATTTGTTTTGTTTTCTTTTTTGTGAATCACAGTCATTGACTGCACAAATAGCCAAGGTACTGGTTTCTTTAGTAAATAAATATAGTTTTTCTAATTGTTTGATTTCTACTCAACTTCTTTTTAACGTGCAATTAAATGATTAAAACAAACATTTTGCAACTTGCTGTACAGCATCTACCTACATCATATAGAAATCAGTAGTATTGTTCTCGAGAGGAAAAAAATGTTGCCTGCTGGGTAAAGTTATATTCCAAAACACGTGATTCATTAGATCATGTGCTATTTCAAACTTTTTAATTTTTCTTCTGTGTCATTATATTTGGTTAATATGGTGTTTGGGCATTTCTGAAACAAACTTTTACATCTGTCCTGCAGAAGTTTTAATAAGGCTTCAATCGTATTCTTGGTTTGATATTCATGACAATCCCTGATACTGACTACACAGTTTAAATATATAAATATGAAGCTTTTTTTATTATGGTTACAAAAGTACAAACTATTACAATACGAATTTCTTGGTACTCTAGCTAATACAAAAAAAAACAACACAGGTTATTAGATTAGCTTTAAAGGTAATTTTTCATGAGTATTGTAAGTATTATGATCTTTCTAACCATTTGTAATTATCTATAGATTGTTCTACATATGATGGTTCTTGTGATAACTGCATCGAAGCTGGTTCAAAGGTGAGAGTTCAAGTACTTCAATCAAAGTTTTTCTAACTAATATTAACTGAGCTACAATAATCAAACTTAATTGTGAAGTTATAATCTGTTCAAAAATTTATCACGGATTATCTTAATTCTCATTATTTGTAAAAGTATATAAATCTTAAAAGAAAGTACTTCAGTTGAAGTTCTAAACAGAGAACAAGATAGAGAAGGAATGTGTCAGATTTGTCATTAGCTCATACAAGGTAGAGAAGGAATGTGTCAGATTTGTCATTGACTCATACAAGGTAGAGAAGGAATGTGTCAGATTTGTCATTGACTCATACAAGGTAGAGAAGGAATGTGTCAGATTTGTCATTGACTCATACAAGGTAGAGAAGGAATGTGTCAGATTTGTCATTGACTCATACAAGGTAGAGAAGGAATGTGTCAGATTTGTCATTGACTCATAGCAGATGTAGCCCAATTATAAAATGCTAAAAATTAGATAGTTATATTGTTAGTCACTTGTGTCTTGTACAAGATACTAATACATCAGTTTTTCTGTCTGTTTAATATGTTCCTACAAATGTCTAATTGTTAAAATAGTTGACACATGCAGAGTTAGCTGTTGGTTAATAAGAGAATCAGAGGATTTATGCAGAGTTAGCTGTTGGTTAATAAGAGAATCAGAGGATTTATGCAGAGTTAGCTGTTGGTTAA